TCACTCGCTGGGTCCGTGGAAGAGTTTGAGCTAAGCCCTCATCCCAGAACTGCTGACTGCCAAGCAGATGCTTTAACGGCTACACAATGCTCCCATGTTAGGAGCTGGAAGTACTTGTTGCTGACCACAAAGGGAGCTGCAAATCAACTGACGAAGAGAATATTTCCCGTTTCCTCACTCTTGAATCCGCTGACAGGATCTCAAGTGATGGATGTTTGTAGCGTGTTTGAGATGATTTATAGTTCTTTGTTACACAAATGCCTTGGCATTCCTCCCCATACTCCATTAGTCATTACTTCTAAATGAAGATCAGGCAAGTGAACTCTGGTTAATGACCCTAATGACATCGCTGGGAGTTTCTCTCTTGTGGACTGTCTTTGTGCACTGTAAAATAAATAAATCAATAAAAACGGGTCCCCGCTGCAACACAAATGAAGAGCCCCACAAAATTGTTTTGTACCTCATGCCCACCTAGGGACCCCATACAAACCCTTCCTTTTACATGCTACGAAGTCAAAAGGTGGGCAAGGAAAGAGTGCCGTAAATCAGGTAGATACGGGGTGCAGGGAGGATCCAGTTTATGCAATTTTTTCATCTCAAGAGCTTGTAATTAAAACAGTGCCCATAACGGGAGGAAACAAATATCTTAAATCTTCCAGTTGAAATGATCATTGCTTGTTTCTTCTTAGCTTTCTCAGACACTGGCAAAGTAATTGGCCCAGGAGATTTTTATTACAGAAAATAACTTTTGTGATGTGGATGTTATGTTGCTTAATTGGAATTATGTTTGCGTTTCCTTCAAGAACACAAGGGGGAAAAATCTGTATCATTTGATCTGCTATAAAGTGCCAGCAGATGTAATTCTATTTTTAAGGTCCTGGGGTTTATTATAATGAATACATGCATGCATTAAATTAAATGCTGATCTTTATCTAGGTAAAGGACTTTGATTGAACTGAACAGCTCTGCTTCAAATTGCCCCTTCTCCTTTGTCCTCGCTTCTAGCATTTTCTTGTTTAAGCATGGTACCAGACAAAATACAGGAGACCTGGTTTCAGCTATATCTCTGGAAGTCAACAGGACTACATCTAGGAGTAAGCATCAAGCAAATATATTTAAGCACAGACTTGCTTTAACTTTAGAGTTACTGGGCTGCTTCAAGCCAAGCATATATTTAGATGCATACATCTAGATTTAGCCAAGCATACATTTAGATTTAGACAGGGACGCAATGCAGAAGGAAATATCCGCAGGACTGAGTTAGAAATATAAAGTTGACCTGTATCTGGGAAGCCATTGGAAGTTTTCCCATTGACTTCAGTGAGTTTGGGATCAGTTCTAGAGACAAGGTGCTATGAGGAATGGCAGAGATGACAAAAACAGAGCAATGTGCTGATAATGCCCTAAACCGCCTCCGGAGAAGTAGCCTGGACTTTGTTACCTTGTTTTCCATCACTAAGTTGCAAAGTATTTCTTCCCAACAGAGCTGATGACCCAAACTCGCCTGCAACGTGATTGATAGGAAAAGGGTTGGCCTATCCGTTCTTCGTGACCAGCTAATGATACTCTAAATCACGAAAACACAGACATGTGTGAACAAAACATTGTTACGGGGGCTTTTGTCCCTCCCGCTTAAATAAGGCGCTTCTTGAAAATTAGGCAAAGCAGTTAGCATAATTAACTTGTCATCCAGCATATACAAAAGAACAAAATCCCGAAATGAGCCTATAAAGATGTTGAACAGTTTTATGGCTTTGCAACCCGGATTTGATATTTCTGATTGGTTTAATAGATTCATAGATTGTAGAGTTGGAAGGGACGCCCAGGAGACTAAACAATTAGGCAGTGGTAAGAACAGCATCAGGACCTCCGCTCTTTATTTTCTCCTGTGGTTGGTGTTGCTTTTCCCACAGCAGGATGCTGAAGTGCGTTCAGGTACGAATGCGCAAAGTTAGGATGGCAGTGATGCTCAACCAGGGCCCCGTGGCACCCTGGGGTGCCTTAAAATCCTTACAAGGGTGCCATGCAATGTTAGCACTGTTAGGTGTGCAAACAGGGTTCGCAAGATCAGCCCAGAGATTTCAAATAGGAGTCCATAATGTTGAAAACACTCTGGCCTGTTATGATCTTTCCAGGTTGTATGCAACAGAAGAATTTTTCTAGTATTTTTCTTTAGTCAAAAACAGGTGAAAACTAAGAGCTGGCATTTTCAAAGGGAGGCCTTTGTTGCGAAGAGGCACTAGCACTTGGGTATAGGGGAGATACGGGAAGCCACAGGCATCCGTGCAAGCAGAACAGGATCCCCCCATAAATTAAAATGTTACTGTTCTATGAATATAAGTGCTAGTTTCCAAGAGGAAAAATACATATCTGGCCCCCCCCCCCAAAAAAATTATCTGTTCTTGTACATTATTAGTCTAAATGAGTAAATGACAAATCAAACTTCTGGCAGAAGTTTCTTCCTTTCTTTTTTATTAGAAAGACTGTTCAAGCTTTTTTTGCAAACTATTTAAGTTGGTCTGATGAAAGAGATCAGATCAGAACGTTGTCTGCCCGTGTCCTTAGACCAGCGCGGCTACAACCCACACCTCTGTCACATGGAAGAAATCAAACTTCTGACATTATCATCAGGAGTAACAACAGGGCGCACTGCAAGTAATGCCAGCAGAGAGCGGAGATCCCGTTTACCTATCACCACACAAACTTTGCCATAAATAGCCCACTGTCAAAATGCAGAAGACAAACACTGAATCGAGGAGGAAGGGAGACAGCCCAGAAACTGAGATACTCAGCAAACACCATATTAGTTCCACAATTTGGTTTTATTTTTGTGCGGGGGCTTGCTCATTTGAAATCATCGTAATCAAAGATCAAGAGCAGCTCTTCCGGCGGCATCCGAAGCTGCAAAAGTTTTCCTGGAGGGAGGAATACTAAAATGGGAGTTTTCATAGGGAGACCAAAGCCGAAAAGCAGCTGGGTACAAGGCGATATAATCCTTTTTAACAGCCCTAGTGCCACCCTGTGGTGCTGATATACATATACATGGACAGCCACAAGCCGGTGGGAATCGGCCCCTCCAACAGTTCCCGGTAGGAACCTGTAGCTTCTCAAACAGGTGACGCCGTTTCTGTCGTATCTCTGAAGAAAGGAAAGTGATGCAGATTATGAATTGAAATACTCCAACTGCAATGGGTGCCACAGAGAGGAAAACTGTGTTGGTAGCTTGGCGCTCTTTTCAGACCTATGATAAGCATGTTAAAGGCATTGTGTCGCCTCTGTGATCGCGTGAACTTGATGTTTTAATACGACACCCTTGAATCCCACGCGGCGCCGCTTCGGGACCACCACATCGCGCTGACGCAGATGCTCTGGACCGCTCGTCGGATACATCGGGGCGGTTTCTTTGGGCTGCGCCACGTGTTCGGTGAAAGCGGGACGGAAACCAGCTGCGAAGTTGCTATCCATTTCCAAGCATAACTCTCCAGCTGGTTGGCTCTTCGTGTTGCTGCACGGACCTGTTTATGGTGCAGTCATTATTTTGCACGTGGGGCCGGTTTACATTTATTGCATGATATAAGTCATGTGTGGCAGGGGCCTTTAGCAGCCTTGCGCTAAACCAGCGCTGGCAGGACGTGTCAGCGTGTCGGTGGCCTGGGACCGGCGTCCTCTTGCAACAGCGACAGGGCAGCCCCTGCCAGGGCCGAGGCACTGCACAGACTAACTACAGGGAGAGATGCGTGGGGGGGGGCAGCTTTGGTGGGCTGGGCTGACCGACATCATCAGGTGTTAGTGCATCACTTTTTTTTTTTTTTTTTTTTTTTTCAAAAATGAACATTTCTAATTATTTATTTCTGTATCATTTCTGAAGCCCCTTCCTGGTGCCCCCACACCACGATGTCATCATGTGCTATTGCATCCCTTTTTGGGGGAAAAATATTTATTTCTATATTATTTCTGAAACCTCCTCCCAGTGCCCCCACACCATGACGTCATCAGGCATTATTGCATCCCTTTTTTTTCCAAAAATATTTATTTCTATGTTATTTCTGAAACCTAACCTCCCTCTGCGCCCCCACACCATGATATCATCAGGAGCTATCGCATCCCCTTTTTTTTTGGCAAAAATATTTATTTCTCTAGATTTATTTCTATATCATTTCTGAAACCCCCTCTCAGCGCCCCCTCACCATATGCAATAAATATAAAGAGATATTTATTTCTCTATATAGCAATATAGAGTTTTTAGAAAATATAGAGTTTTTAAAAATTATTATATAGCTATATTATATCAATAGAAGTAAATAGCTATTTCTATATATGGAAATACATTTTCCTACATAGGAATACATCGAAATAAATAGCTATTTATTCCGATATATAGAAATAGCTATTGATTTCTATACATAGAAATAGGTATTTAAATACCTAGAAATACCTAGAAATAGGTATTTCTATACATAGATATAATATATGTAATTCTATACATAGAAATAGGTATTTCTATACATATAATATATATATTTCTATATATAGATATACACAAAAATAAATATTTATATAGATAGATTTCTATACATAGATATATATATCTATATAATATCTATTTCTATGTATAGAACTATATATATGTCTATACATAGAAATAGATATATATAGATACACACAAACATAAATATTTATATAGATAGATATATTTCTATATATAGAAATAAATATTTATATAGATAGATATATTTCTATATATAGAAATAAATAGATATTTATATAGCTAAAATATATATTTCTATATATAGAAATAAATATCTCTATATTTCTCTCTATTCTACGTCTAGAAATAAGCATACATTGATATTTATGACGTCACGCTATGACGTCACGGTGCGGGGTGGGGCACGGAGAGGGGGTTTCAGGGCCAGGCTCCCGCTTCGCTCTTACAGGCGGCCTGGTTGCCATGACAGCGCGGCGGCGCCCTTTGACCCCGGGAGGCCGGAAGTTCCGGTTTACTTCCGGTCCCTGTTTGGCGTGAGGCCGGGACGCTTTTCCCAGGCGGACCGAGGGCTGCTCGCTGCCGCGGGGCTTGCCGGGTGGCGCGGTGCACGCCGGGAGAAGATGGACTCGCACGCGCTGTTCCGCCGCCTGGGCGCGGGCGCGCGCTTCGACGTGAAGCGCTTCAGCCGCGACGCGCGGCGCTTCGGGGTGAGGGGGCGGCGGGGAGGCCCTCATCCTCTCATCCCGGGCCCCTGCCGGCCGGCCTTCCAGCGACTAACAGCCCTGCCCCTCCCTCCCTCCCTCCTTCCCTTCCAGGTGGTGAAAGACCCCGGCCCGAGCTCGGCGCCCCCCGCCAGCCTGGACTTCTTCGGCCCCCACGAGACGGGGCCCCCGAGTGCCCCCGGGACGGACGGCGCCGCAGCCGGGACGCCTGCCGTGGAGCCACTAGGTTGGCGCGGGAAGCCCGTGGTGTAGTCGGGTGGGCGGGAAGGGGCGCGGGCAGCGGGATGGGGGTCAAACTTCCCGTTTGGAGGAAATCCGTAGTTGCTTACATAGAGTAGCGCAAGTGCGATCGGTATTAAAACACGCAGCATCGGCTTCCGATACCGGTCATAGCAGCAACAGTCGGTGCTCTCGTTGAGCAAGGAGGCAGTCTGCACACTTAACTAAATATAGAGGCAATTATCGGATGGTTGGCACTCGTGTAGTAAGTTCCAATTTTAAACCGTCCAAGCTTCAGATTCAGTAGTTTATGCATTTGGCATAAAAAGCAGTAAAAATACACTGAAGAGATACTGGGTAAGATGGACCTATAGTCTGACTCCGTAAATGGCAGTTCTTGTGTCCTTATGTTTTTAGGGCTGGAAAGGAAGAGAACGAGACAAGGTGAGAGCTCCCGGGGGAAGAAAAAGAAGAAAACTTCAGGTAGGGGAACTTTTCCCTTTGATGTGCCTAGGGATATGATCTTAAACCTCCAGAAGTAGAACAGCGGGGACAAATCTGACACTGTGAGGAAATGCTAGATTTGCCAGTACAAATGCCTAGTGCTTGATTTGGATTTGATTTGCAGTCCTCGGGCTTATGACACAATTGATTCCTGAAAAATGCATCTGAAGTTGAAATGTCGTAAGTTGGAACCGATTTTCCCATAGGAAATGTTATGAATGGGGGCTTGGTTCCTGAACCAAGGCCTGGTACCTTATTTGCACCAAAAATAACCCAGAATTTTATACTCACTCAGTTATAGATGAGTAATATAGGTACATTAATGTAGTTATATTGTAAATAGCAATCGTATTGATTTGGGAGGACTTCTTTGAGGTGACTTTGCTGGACTTTTTGAAGGGCTCTTGGCTGGAGTCTTCTCAGGAGGTTTTTCTGGAGTCTTATCTGCTTTCTTAAAGAAAGTGTCCCAGGGAGATGGGCAACGCAGCAAACTTGTTCACTGGTGTGGCATGGCGTCAGATCAAGTGTTGTAAAATCAAAACTGATGTCAGAAAGTTGAAACGGTGTTAATTTATAAACCTTGTAAGTGCGAAATGCAACTCAAAATGTTGTAAGTCAAGGACTGCCTATATGAAAAAAATCCCCAGGACTCTTGCAAAGAGACAAATATTTACTTACCATGTTATTTGAAAGATGTTCAACATGTTCTGGTTGTATCACATTATCCTCACTTTCAGCTGCTGCTTTCCCATAGGTTTTATAAGATTCTGTGGGCAGGGACCTTTGTCATTTTTCATGCCCCTCAAATACCTAGCACTTGCAGAGTTTTATAAATGAATTCTGATAAGAATTAACTTTAATTGTAGGTAACATTGTACTAGCAATCTACAGCAATTGCAAGCTGTTTTCGTTATCACTCCCTTGAATTGAGGATGAGCTCTGCCACAGCTCACTGATGGGTCTTGAGATGACTTAAGAGTCTAGTCCTTGAGCCACAGCTCTGTCCACACAAGTTGCAGGCCTTTGTGCAGGGGAGATGGACTGCAGGCTGGTATTCCTCTCCTTTTCCTTCCTCCACTCTCTCTTCTCTGCTTTGAGAGCAGATGCTTTACCTCGAAATGGGCTGCTGCTTGATTGAGGTTGTGGCGCCTTTGGAGTCGCCATTGCAAGCTGTACTACTGGCTAGAGGAAGCTTAACAGTTTCTTTAGCTGGCCTGCTCCAGGGCAAACAAATTCTGACAGGGTACAGAGCTAAGGCTTAGGCATCTGATTCTACCCCAGTTGATTCATCCATGAATTTTCCTTTCATTACACCTTTTTTTTGAAATGCACATTTCTTGAACCTTTTAGAAATTATTTCCACATCGGAGCTTCCTGAAAATGATGGGATATTGTGGATGTCCTCGTTGGAAGCAAAGCTTAAAAATGCAAGAGAAACGGGAGAAAAGAAACCCACCGCAGAAAAACTGGAACAGCTCAGACAGGAAAAGGTGAGCTAGATATATTTGCTTGTACTCCAAGAGATATATGTTCATTTGACACAACTTTCAGATGAAATGTTCGAGTTTATTTGTGCATCTTTGGGTTGAAGATTGTATAACGTGAAACAATAATCAGCAAATGGATCTTTCTTCTGCCATATAAAGCAAGTTAAACCTTGTCTCTTATCTTACAAAGGATGCTGGAGTTCTGAATTTAGTGTGCGAGGTACTTCCGTTGACTTCAGTGGCATTATTCCTGTATGCTTTATTAAGCATATGGATAAGTTTTTTCCAGAATTAGGGTTCTTAGGGCATGGACACATGAATGAAATACTGCACCGTAACCTGGGACAGCAGCTCTTTGGTTGAGGGGAAGCTGGTACAAGTGAGCTTTCATGTACCATGGGACAGGAGCATGTACGTAGACACTTACTACAGAGCAGCTCCTTTCCCATAAATCTATGCTATAGTTTACCTTGCAGTCACTTGTCTGTGTGCCCTTACCATTATAAGTAGTGCAGCAGATGTAAATGAAGAAAAACATAAAGCAGTAAGATTTGCAATTATTCTGGAAGGTGTGTTTTTTTTTCTCTCCTGGGAAATGTGTGTAAAAAGCATAGAGGTTTAGCTTCGCTTAAAAAGCACTGGAGGAGGGAGCATGATTTCATGGTTAGAATACAGGGTTAGGACTTGGGTGTCAGACACTGTTTTTTACTGGGTGAGCTTAGACCTGCCATGCTTTCACATGTGTAGAAATAGTACCGCATAAAGTTAATTGATTTTCTCCCCCCTGAGATAAATGTTCTGTCAAAGCATTAGGTGATGACTTTTTGGCTTTGATAAAAGGCCATGCTCCTTATGTTTTGAATAACACATACGCGTCTTGCCTTCTAGATAAACCATTTCCGAAACAAGCACAAGATTAATGTTCAAGGTACAGATCTTCCTGAACCAATTGCCACATTTGAGCAACTTCAAAAGGAGTATAAAATCCACCCTAAAATAATGCAGAACATTGAATCTGCTGGCTTCCAGGTCCCCACGCCAATTCAGATGCAAGCCATTCCTGTCATGCTTCATGTAAGTCATCTTGTCTTACATGATGCTTTGTGTAATGAAAAATAGTTTGGAATCTCTTCATTTTATAACTTCCTGTTTGCATTCATGCAGCTTTTTGCATTTAAAAAAAGCCTTAATTTAAATGTTCACTGTTTTATATTGATTTTTATACACATAGGGTCGGGAACTCCTGGCTTCAGCTCCTACTGGATCTGGGAAGACCTTGGCTTTTAGCATTCCTATCTTAACACATCTGAAACAGCCCATGAACAAAGGATTTAGGGCACTGATCATCTCTCCTACTAGAGAACTTGCTGGTCAGGTAGGATTGTTTTTTTAAAGTTGGCATACTTGGAAACACTTGTGTTGTTCTGAGACAGGAAAACAGGATCTTGGTGGATGTGCTTTTCTATCCTGTCCACTGAGGTGTTTTTTCTGAATAAAGTTTTGAGTTGCCTAGTAGTACTGTGAAATGTAAAGGCATGATTGGATCAGGGAACCACTGGGACTTTACTCCTGAGACTGTAGTTTAAAATTCAATTTAAACTTCAGCTCAGCAGATGTTAGGAATGCCTGATTTTTTTGAGTGGGTTTTTAGTCTGTAAATGCCAAGCTGTGCAAGAGGGCTTGTGGGTTTTTTTGGTTCCTAAAGCTGTCCTTGTGTAGCTAATGCTAGGAACTTTGATTTTGAATTGTTCATGTATTTTAGACACACAGAGAGCTAGTAAAGTTGTCTGAGGGAACAGGCTTCAGAATACATATGATCCATAAAGCAGCTGAAGCAGCCAAGAAGTTTGGGCCCAAATCGTCTCAGAAGTTTGGTAAGCATTCTCACTACTTCAGAGATTCTCTCAAAAACTTGAAACTTTCAAAGCAATTTTTAGTGTGTGTATGAATTTTTAAATGGGCCAATACATTTAGTGTTTGTCACTGAAATCATCTCGCAAAGTCCTGTGGACACTTGACTCCATGAAATTTTAAAAAATCCTTAAAACCCAATGGTTGAAAGAGAACAGGCATAACTCATGAAGGCAAATCTTCTTCTGCTGTATAAAACAAATGCCACTCAAACACTGGCAAAGCAGCTAGCGTGTAGAGGTCAGAAACATTCCAGATGTGCAGCTGATTTGGCTGTATTGCGGCACTTTTGAAGTGTTGGAATACTGCCATGCATCTGAGATTGGTCACTCAAAGCAAAAAGTGACAACCGCTTGCTATTGTGCTAACGTTATTAATGTAGTCTAACTGAATCTGTTTTTGGAATTTCGATAGACATTAAATATATCTCTCGATCAATACCTAACAGAACACGTGAGAGCTAATGAATCCTCACAACACCCTTAAATGTAAGGTAAATAACAAAAACACAAAATAGCTCATTTTATAGGTAAGGTCACCAGAAACACAGGGAAATGAAATAACTTGCCCTAGGAACTCTCAGCAAATTGAGGATTAGAGCTCTTAGCTTTAGCGTCTGTGCTCACATCTCTAGATCATATTGGTTATTTATTTAAACCTGGCTTGTTTTTCTGTGTCCCTAATACAGTTTTGCTTTTCCTGTAGATGTGCTAGTGACCACTCCAAATAGACTCATTTATTTACTAAAACAAGATCCTCCGGCAATAGATTTGACCAGGTACTGAGTTTTGCTTATATTCGTGACTCCTCTGCAGTATAGATTTAGTATCTGTTCAGTCCTAAAGCTGCCATGCTCCTGTAGGATCTTTCTCCCCTGAAAGTTGCTTTCATTGAACAGAAAATGTTTTGCTCTTCTCAGGGTTGAGTGGTTGGTGGTGGATGAGTCGGACAAACTCTTCGAAGATGGGAAGTCAGGGTTCCGTGACCAGCTGGCCTCCATCTTCCTGGCTTGCACATCTCATATCATCAAAAGAGCGATGTTCAGTGCAACTTTTGCACACGATGTAGAGCAGTGGTGTAAACTCAACCTGGATAATGTCATTTTGGTGTCAGTTGGAGCAAGGTGTGTGAGCAGCAACATTTTCTCACTCTTCCACCTACAGGGATTTTCTTTCCCATCTAGTCAACTGTCTGCCTCCATGTGGGCAGACACCTACTTATATCTTTCCTTTCTTTAGTTTGGAATCCCTCAGATGTTAATCTGAAGGCCACTTTTTCAGCCATCTGAAGAGCTGGATTTGTGTGGCAGCGTGTTACGGGCATGAGGGTGATTTTTCATAGAGCAGGGGGGAAGTGCCCTTTTATTCTGAGTCTGCTCAGGTGTTACCACATACAGGAGGGTGGACATGCAAAATGAGAGATTTTACCATGTTTCCCTTTCAGCAGCGAACATTTTTATCTTGAAAAATACTAACCAGCTTGTCGCTGGAACTTGGTTTTGGTTTCAGAAACTCTGCAGCAGAGACAGTGGAACAGGAGCTCTTGTTTGTTGGATCGGAGACAGGAAAGCTGCTGGCAATGCGAGAGCTGGTTAAAAAGGTAGTTGTGAAGTGACTGAGCTTCTCATTCTTGCTTGCTGACTGAGCTGTACATTCTGCCAGAGGCACATTCTTGCCTGGGTCATGTCTGTCAGGACAAAACCTATTAAGTTTGCTGATATATGAGACATGTTGTGCCTAAGTAAAAGCAAATGTAGCCTGCCAGTGAAAACTGGAAGGCGTTCCCTTTGCATGGGTCTGAGTTAGACTATCTTGTGTCTGAGCTGGAAAGATAAGGCGGAATTTAGACCATTTACTATGGATAAATTTTACTTCTCAATGTGGTGTTTCTCTCTGCCTCCCAGCCCCACGCCCCAATCTACCCTCAAAGTCATGTATTTGGTCTGGTGACTTTTCTGCATTTAGTGTCTTGCTTTCTGTGGGTGAAATTCAGTTCTGATGCCTAAATTCTGTGCAACTCCATCCAACTCACTAGAACTGAATTTGTTTAATCCAGGCCCCAAGAGTTTTGTTAGGCAAAAACCACCCTCTGAAATGTAAAGCATGCAGGCTAATTAAATCCATGGTAGTACTGAAGTGAATTCAGAGAGGAAAACGACTTGAGCCTTACTTACGCTTGTTCTTTTGCAGGGTTTCACGCCTCCCGTACTTGTTTTTGTGCAGTCCATCGAAAGGGCTAAAGAGCTTTTCCATGAGCTTATTTACGAAGGTATCAATGTGGATGTTATCCATGCTGACAAAACACAGCAGCAGGTAGGAAGACAATAATAATATTCCCTGTTTGTGTTTTTTTTTTTCTCAGAAACAACGTAGAAAGTAGTCTTAAAAACTGGACTATCCTTATGCAATTGATGGGAGGGCGGCAAGGGTTTTGCAATATGTGATCTTTGTATGGAAGACCTGAGTTGAGTTTTACTGTTCAGTGTCTCAGTGTTTGCTGCTTTCAATGCATAAATGCACTTCTGATCTCAAGCAGCTTATTACTAGGTCACTCACAAAACATTTATTTTTATTTACCAGAGAGATAACATAGTGCACAGTTTTAGAGCTGGAAAGATTTGGGTGCTTCTATGCACGGCCTTGCTGGCCCGAGGGATTGACTTCAAAGGAGTGAATATGGTCATTAACTATGACTTCCCAACCAGTGCTGTGGAATATATTCACAGGATAGGTAAGTGTTCCCCTCCCCCAAAAACAAAGCAGTGCTTTCGCTCCCTCCCCCCCCTCGATTAGCTTTTGCGTTGGGTGTGCTAAAGCAGAAACTTGGAAGTCGAGACTCCTGGATTAGCTCAGCTCTGATGGGAGGGCGTCTGTGTCTATGTCATTTAACCTCCTTCATGCCTCAGTTCACCTCTGCAAAACTGGGTTGCTTGCCTCATAAAAATCTCTTAAATAGACTTAATTCTTGTTTGTAAAGTACTTTTAGAGCCTACGTGCTTGCAGGTTCTGTGCAGTAGGGACAGTGTGACTGAGTCTAAACTGCTGGGTCATACTAACAGATCTGTGGTGTGGATTAGTGGAGAATGACCTGAAGTTTCTGGAAAAAGAATAAAAACTTGCAATTTTCTCTGCATGATTGGTCTTCGACAGGTCGGACTGGGAGAGCAGGACATACAGGAAAAGCACTCACTTTCTTTACTGAAGATGACAAACCTTTATTACGAAGGTAAATTTGGAAGATGTCATTGTGATTAGTTCTTAAGTTACCCTCCTACATGTTTGAATGGTTAAAACCAGGGGCATCAAACTTACCTGGCTCTGAGTCATGCAGCATGTACCAGACCAGACCACAAGCAGTGCCATGGGCCATGTCTTTAATACCCCTGGTCAAGACAAACTAGTACTGAATTGGAGTGGGGGGGTGCGGAAGCAGGGTGTAGGGGGCTGTGTGTGTGGGTGTATGTGGCATTAAATTCTTTACACATGCAGTATTTTCATACCTCTCCCTCCTTAAGTGCAAGGATCAAACGCCGTTTGCCATAGTTTTAGAGCTGTATGGTGACTTTATTGCTAGGTTGCTTAAAAAAAAGAGAAGTCAGTATCATGCTGGGTCTCAAGCCTAATAATGGCAATACAAGTGACTGGCTTTGCAATGAAATATTGAGTTCACCAGTGAAGTTGGTGAACCTGTGACTTCAGTAAGGACCAAGTCTGCAGTGAACAGTTTCTACACAGTTGGAGTTGCTGTCATCTGGTTCTCTTTAAAGCTTGTGCTTTTTACTGTAAGACACAACTAGTGATGTCTTTTTCAACACATTTTCTGTATCCTTTAGTTCTCTTGAAACTCCAGCTTGGTAATGTCTTATGGAAAGGTCTTTTGGTACAACTTTCCATTTGGGCTTCTTGTTAATCTGCTTGACTGTTCTCTGTTCTATAATATAATGTTTAGTAGCTTATAATGAACAGAAACTGAGAACAATTACTTTTAGCCCTACCATAGGATTGCTGCTATTTTCTTCCTCCTTTTTCAAGCTTTTTGGGGTTTGCTTTTGGTTTTCTTCCCATGCCAGGTAAGAAATAACCCAGCAGATTCTTTGGAATGATAGTTGGTACCTTCTGTAATTGGTTAGTATCTGCTTGAGTGTTCATTACTGGAACTGATATTTTCTCCCTCTCTTCCAGTGTAGCTAGTGTTATTCAGCGGGCTGGCTGTCCCGTGCCAGAATATATAAAACACTTCCGTAAACTGCAAAGGTGAGGCTTTTGGTTTTGTTTCTTGTTTTACTTTTGGGTCATTTTGCAGTTTGTATGGGGTCTAAAAGCCCACATGACTTAGGTTAAGGGTGGGAGAGTTGCAAGGTATCTGCTAGATGTTCGTTGTCTTGTGCAAATGCCTTTTCTGCTTTTTGAAAGCCATTAGTTATCAAATTGCTGTTTCAAATTTTTGTGAAGGGCTGTGCTGGGACTCAGTTCTGTAGTGCAAAGGTGCAGTGAACAGATTTGAACAAAGCACAACCTTAACCCACCTTTTTCACGCAATTTGGATGAAAGAGAGTCCCAAAACTTGGCAAATCAGACTTCTGAAGAGCTTGAATCAAAGACATTCTATTTTTAATTTGAATGATTAAATTGGACCACTGTGACTTGGAAACAGATGGAAACAAAAAACAAAGTGTGTTTGTATGTGGCTCGTTATTTTGAGAATTTTGGTTTCACAAATGGGGGGAAATGTAGCTGCATTTCTAAGAAGAAAAATATATTTACAAGGGTTTTATTAGAACTTATTTGGCTAAATCCACACACTTTAGTACTGAAGAAGCCTCCTACCCTTGGGAATCTACTCCTATGCTTCCAATCCTGCTGCAGTCTTCAAGCAGGCAGCGCTCACTGTGTCATTGTAGCACTGATGAGAGAGAGAGAGAGCTGGCTGAATTAATACTGAAAATAGGTATCTGCTGTATCTATTTCAGATGATGACTTAGCTTGTAACAGATGTTGTTTTATTTTTGCTTTCCTAAATGCCATTCTCAGCAAACAAAAGAAGAAATTTATTAAGAAGCCACTGGAAAGGGAGCACATTCGTACCATGCCTCAGTACTTCTTAGAAAAAGGAAAAAGCAAAAAGTAAGTAGTTTCTCTGAAGAGGGGCTGAGAGATCTGGTTTCGTTTGCCTTCTTGAAGGGCTTGAGCTTGAAAATTAATGTTTTATTGCAATTTCCCATTGGATGAGTAGTTCAATATATAACTCTAGACTTGGACAGATGTTCTAGATATCCATGAGACGGGTCCAGCTGTGGCACCAGCAGTCCATGCTTCTGTGTGCTGCCCTGCACTGTGTACTTCACAGCTGATCTGGATGGGGCACCTTTAGCTTAGTCCTTGTCAGCTGCTAGTTAAGCTGACAATTATGTTGGTGTGAGCATCTGTTCTTTGGGAACTGGCCACCAACCCATTATTCACTTACATACGCTTCAGCTTTCAGTCATAAATTCACTAGATACCTTCATTGCTAATTTGTTAATAATTTTTTTAGGAAAATTATCCAGAAAAATACTAAGGAAAAGAAGAAAGCTAAAGCATCCAAAGAAAATGCTCAATTGCAGACTGCTCCAGAAAGTTGATGGCTTTTGAGTGCTGACAAACAAACTGGACTGGAACCAAGCTAGACAAATATATTGTATAAATACTTGAAAATGGAAAGTCCAAGATGACAACAAAGGACAAAGGAAGAGAGAGCAAAACTTCCTTTTTCTAACTCTTCCATATGGAGCAGTGGACACTAACATGCAAAAAAAAAAAAAAAGTCACTGTTGAGGGAAAAAAAATGCTACATGTGCTTCTTATAGAAGCTCAAGATCATGCTCTTGCAGTGAGACACCCCAGGCTTCTAAGGAATGGTTCACAAATAGCATCTGTTTTGCTTAAAGTTCAGTACCACTTTTTGGAATAGCTGAGATATACAACTGGCCCATGAGTATCTTCTGAAGTCGGGATGAAAAGTGTTTACATATGCAAGATCTGAGAATGCACAGGTTTTATTATAGTGCTGAGCTAGTCCAGCTGTTCTTAAAGACTGTTCTATTCCTTTTCTGTGATTTTTTTTTTAATTTGTTTTATTTTTTTGTTTAAGATCTACCCCTGCAACTAGATTCTTTTTGCTGTATAAATCAATTTGAATAATGAATTCATGACTTCATTTTCAGCAAGAATGGGTCATAGAAGTGTTTTGGGTTTTTCATATAAAATGCATCAAAAGTTAGTAAAATCACCCTTGAAATCTTATTATGGGGTTAAAGGTAAACCTCAAAGCAAAATAAACTGAGGCGAATTCTAAGACCAGAGATTCTTCAGTCTCTTGTATTTCTTGGAGGACTGCTTTCCAGTTGCTGTTTCTATGCTTGTGCTATGCATAAGGAACACATTCCACACTTTTTATTGTTTCTTCACTTCTTAAGCCCACTCTATTTGGACATAGCTTCCTTACCAGATAATTTTAACAATGCAAGGGCAACTTCTCTTCTCCAAGGATAATCTTTTTCTAAGTGGCCGTTCCTGTTGCTTGGTACCCATTTTGAAATGTGTGCTCATCGAGTCCCACTTCCTCAAGACTTGGTTACCTTCAGTCCATTTTGCAAATGGATCCCAGTTTTACATAAATCATTTACTACAGGCTGCTCTCTGTGTTTCTGTTCTGTTGAAGGCTGTAGAGACATTTTCTAAGTTTGCCTTACTTTACAAAAATCAAACTGATCCAGGATCACTTCAGATGTCTGATTATTCTTAAGTTATTTGGCAAGGTTGCTTTACTAGGTTTGTGAAAATTATGCATTTAATTAGGATTATGTAGAGAAGTGTCATATTCTGAAATCTTATTAAAATAAGAATTTGTGTATGCAGTTCTCGCTCAAATTGCCCAGTACTATGACAAAAAATGCATTAGCGTTCCTTCCCGCTACATTTCAAGTCCTTGCTGCAATTGTGGAGAATCTTGAGTTCTCAAACACCAGCTGGAAGACTATAATGGAAACATTTAACAGTTTTAAATGCAGGGTTTACCACTGCTTCCCTCCTCATAGCAATAACAAGCTGTAACTGTCAGTGTGCTAATTAATATGCAGTGTGCTGTATAATAGGCGTGTGACCAGGAGGAAACGATTAGCTCGCCAATTTTAAATTCTTAGCCTTGCAAACTGTGTCAATAAATTAATGTCTGCAAAGAGCAGACTGTGTACATTAGTTTTTAAGGACTTAGGTGCAAGATCCATCTAGCTGGAGAACTGCCTAGAACTCAGTTGAGCTACTGTAGTAGGAATGTGAGGCCTAACTTGGATTTCTGAAAGCCCAGATAATTAACTGCTATCACTGGACCACTGAGCAACATAAAGCAGCAGTACCCGTCAGAAGGAACCGTTGTATTAAAAGCTGATAGATATCATACAAAACTTCTTAAACTTGGCAGATGGCAAACAGCATATAGAAACTCTCCAGAATGTCCATGTTTCTTAATATGCCTTAGCCAGCTCTTTGCTGGTGTCATTGAGAGAGAGAGACAAGCTGCTCTGCTGCAGCTGCATCATTAGCTAGCAGCTCACAATCTACCTAATCACAAGGAGTGCTTTTGCATGATGATGATTAGGATTTTGTGGGCTGACAATTAGTGTAAAGGTGATGCTCTGGTACCTCTGGAAGTGGGATAAATAGCAAATTGGCAGAATCATAAGGGAGATTAATTTTGCAGTCATATGCTACGTTGTATAAGGACTGTTGCTTTTCCTGTTATGGGAGGGGATGGTGTCTAGATTACAGCAGGATCCCAGCAGCAGGTCTGGATGCATATTGCAGCCCATTAATGAACATCCCCTGTAGTAGCTGCAGTTCCTAGAAGCACACAAATAGCCTGGGAAATGGTATAGGTGGTGTCTGGTTAACAAACTTTACCCCTCGTGCTGTCATTTCCTGAAATGAAAAAAGATTCCCCATGTTTTTAACTAATAAAGTTGTGTCCTAGAGCTTCAAGCAGCCAAGAGAACAGCTAGCTTTGATATGGCTACCAGGATATAAAACGTTTCCCTTTATGTGTTGCCATTTGAAATCTAGATGGGATCAGAAGTGGTTCTTTCTGGTCTACTTAGTAAGCTAACAGTTGCAACCAGTTCTTAGTTGGACAGCTGTATACATCGCCAAAAAACCTCAAACCTGTAACTGCTTTTCTCCCAACAGAGGTTGAGGATTGTACTGGCTACTACTACCAAACTGGTTTCTCCAGATCAGAGATGAAAGAAAGACATTTGCTTTCCCACATGAAAGGAGCGTTCATTTCGCTGATGCGAAGAGGACAGGACTCCAAATGGAAACAAGCTTTATCTCAAGCTTTTGCTTATAGCTTTAGGCTTCTGACATCTGCAATACTGTACTTTTAAAATAAGTTGCAGATCTCTGGAGGAAATGTGGTACTTGAAAAGTCGGACTCAATAAATGTCAAAGGATTAACATGAAGGAGCCACGAAGAAAAAAACTATGAAACTAGCAACGTGCTCAAGTCTCTGATGGAGCAAAATGATTGTTTTTGGAGCTTAGAATAAATGTCTGATAGTGTGAATGGAAAGTTTTATTTGAATGCCTTTTTCAGAGTCTCTTAGGAACTGTTCAATAGGCAGAGTACAGTAATAAGTAACTGTTGCAACAAATTTCCATTTTTTCCATCTTGCAGCGCTGATGCTGTACTAAACTAGGGCCGTAGGTTTGCCCTAGAAAGCACGCAGGTATTTTAGACAGATTGCTTCAATTTGGTGCTTTCCCAAGACCCTTGGGAAATTTTGTTGCCTTGCACTATAACAAACCAAGTGACAATCTACTTTCTCAACATAGGTTTTTTTCTTCACTCATTGTTCTTAGAGGACCTGAGAACCTGAGGAAAAGTGAGATATCTATATAATCTATATCCTTTATTTATTTATTTTTTTAGAGGATTTTTGCCTAAATGCAAGTTAATATTTTTCAAGTGTGAGAATATGTGTTAAAAAATGTAGTTAAGTAGCCAAGATTTTATGGTAAGAGACGTCCTCTTTAGCATATTTATTCCAAAAGTAGTACACCAGACTGTTTACTGAATGCTGTGATGAATCACAGAAAGCTTGAAAAAGGCTTTCGGTTCTTACTCTTGTATGTCTTTGCCACCTGTGGCATAGGATTTCAAAGCACTTTACATATGCTAGTTTTAACAGCCATAGAGAATAGGCAGGCGTGGGCTTTTTATAGGATAAACTGAAGTAGTTGGGACTGTAACATGGTTATAATTCAGTGAAACAGAACCCAGCTCTTCTGCATCCTTTTGAATTTCCCGCTCTCCTATTCTAATGAAGATTGCTTGTTCCATATTTAACATTTTTTAAATACAATTTGCTATTTGTAAACCCCTACATCTGCTGGTCTCCGTTTTAAATCAAGGGGTAGGACCAGCAATCTGTAAACTGACATCACGTCAGATACTATTATCTGTATGCATCGGACAGCTTGAATGTACGAAACAGAGTGAGAAGCATGATTTGATAGTCAACCTTTGCCCTTCCTTCTAAAAGGCTTTGACTAATTGTTATACTCAATTCCAAGAGGGCCATGCTCATAAAGGTTAGTGTGGGCAAATGTCCAGCGTGTAACTTTACCAGGGCATCGTGATACTAACCTCTAGAATATATGGTTAGTCCCATCTTGTGCCTATGCCTCTAGGCTTTGCAAATGTATATCTGAAACCTGACCTGCACCAGCTCCTACCATCCCAACATCAGCTGTTTAGAGCAACACTTAACAGTTGCGCTTTACAGCCCTAATCCTGAACCACGCTGGCACACCTAATGTTATAAGTGGCTGTAACTTTAGTCTATGAATATTTGAGTCTGTGCCCACATTAATGGGTCATAGACTACCTATCCTCCCCCTAAATTATGTATGTTTGATCATCTGTAATATACAAATATATTTTAAACTATAGTTCATTTTATATGGCCATTCTTAGATTCATCACGAGCTGTAAAAAGTTATGCTTGGGTTTCTGTTCGTATATGCATGCATCTGACCAAGTCGGCACGGTGGCTTCCATACAGCGTATGAACAAGGGAAAAACTCAATTATGGATGAGTGCCAAGGGTTTGGAGTAGGTGTCTTAGTTCAGATTATAGAAACGTGGAAATAGGCCTCCAATGCTTTGACCTAACTTTATACATGCACACACAACTGTTTCATATAAGACACTATACACCTCTCCCCTGTTCTAAATGAAAAATATATTTCTAGGTATTATGAGTAGATCACAGTGATCTACAGTTTTGTAGCTAGCGGGTGTCTTCCTTCTGCCCCATGGTCCCTCTCCACCTCAGGGGTATTATCCACGTCAGGGCAGCCGCGGGGGAATCAACCGTGAGCAGCCTGGTTGGCAGTGCCCTGTGCAAGATCTGAAGTCTGAACTAGTCAGAGCTGCTGCAGAAACGTCTCTTTTTTCATAGAAGTAGCATTGCTGATGTACTATGAATCCCAGTAGGCTGCAGCTTGGGTTTCCATTCAATGCCGACAGAATATGGTTTTCATGCTTGTACATGTGTATATGTCATATTTGGGAGGTAAATCAGACACTTTCTTAGGCCGTGGTTAAATCAGGCACCTCTCTTCCTAGCCAGCCCTGCCCTGTGGTTTATGTGGAGTCATGGTGGTGCACAGCCATGGTGGTAGAGGCCTGGCTGGTGGGAGTGCTCCTGGTTTCCACACAGTGATGGATGCTGCAATGCTGTCTGTGGGTCTTGTGAAAGACCAAACGGGGACACTTTCACCTGGCGATCCTCAACCGGGGTGCCACGAGACCCTCCCGGGGGGGGCTACAAAAAGCCCTCTCGGTTGGGCTTTTTGCGGGCCTCTCGGCTAGACCTTTGGAAGACTTCTTGGTTCCTGACGACCACGTCTTGAGTCGAAACGTCGTAACTCGGAACCGATTTCCCCATTGGAAACAACCTTATAAATGGGGGATTGGTTCCTGAACCGAGGCCCAATACCCAATTTTCACCAAAAATAACCCAGCGTTTTGTAACTCAATCGATTACAGATGAGCAATACAGCTACAGACACACCAGCTGCTGAAGCTTCCTTAGCCTGACGAAGGGTTTTTGAACCCGAAAGCTTGCTTAAAAACCATTTTTCCAACCATTTGGGCTAGTCTAATAAAAGATATCAAATTCACCCAAGGAACCTTGTCTGCCTATATCCTTAGACCAACACGGCTACAACCTAAACCCCTACAGCTACATTAACGTATTTATATTGTAAATAGCAATTCTATCGATTTGGAAGGGCTTCTTTGAGGTGACTTTGCTGGACTTTTTGAAGGCCTCTCGGTTGGCCCTTTTGAAGACTTCTCAGTTGGGCCTTTTGAAGACTTCTTGGTTGGGCTTTTTGAAGGCCTCTCGGACCTTTTGAAAGCCTCTTGGTTGGCCGTTTTGAAGACTTCTTGGTTGGGCTTTTTGAAGGCCTCTCAGACCTTTTGAAGGCCTCTTGATTGGCCATTTTGAAGACTTCTTGGACCTTTTGAAGGCCTCTCGGCTGGGCCTTTTGAAGACTTCTTGGTTGGCCGTTTTGAAGGCCTCTTGGACCTTCTGAAGGCCTGTTGGATTTCCTGCAGGCCTCTTGTCCGGACCCTTCCCAGGTGTCTGGTCTGTGGGTCCCATCCCTTTTCCTTCAGGAAAGCGTGGGGGCAGTTGGGAGGGGCGCTCTGGCACCGGGTGGCGGGTGCGGCGCGTGGCCAGGTGGGGGCGCTGTGGGGCGGGGCGGTGGCCTGGCGGAGGCCCCGCCCCGCGGGA